ATAATTGCTCTTTTTTTACATGATTTGTTAAATAAGTAAATTTTATATTTCAGTTATATCATTTAGTTTTTCTTTTTGTTTGTCTATTTGATGTAACTTTGGAGCATATTTGATAATAAAATAAATATTTTATTTATCATTTAAACAAGGGCAAAAATGGTATAATATTATTTTTATTCCAAATTCCCTTTTAAATCCAACTTCAAATTCAATTGGTTCTAAACATAGAAATGAAATTTCATTGTAATTCCAATTCCTTTTCTAATTCTGATTCCTTTTCCAAATCCAAAAATAATTGATTCCAAACAAAGCCAAGAAAAGAAACTTATTGTGTACTTTTAACCCGTGTTGAGGGAGCCCGAAACAGGCCTTAGAAACGAGGGTTTTTGTAAGGGGTCGGAGAACCGAAGGAGTGAATCTTTTTGTTGAAGCATCAGCAGATTTCACCGGTAAGCTCTCTTCTTCTTCTTCTTCTGCTTTTTTTTTTTTTTTTTTTTTTTTTAATTTTATTTGTACTGTGTTAGTTTATGGATCGGCACGAAACAGATCAGTTTCTCTCAGTTTCTTGAGAGTAAAACAGAGATCTAAACAAATTTACCGAGAAAAAAACAGTTCAGTTTCTTCTGTCTGTCTGACCTTTTTATTTATTTTTTTTTCTTTTCAATCAGGGTGGAATAGGGTTAGATTTTCAATCCCTACGCACGCTGCCTCTCTTCCCAATTGATATTTACATATATAGATATACAACTATTGATGTATACATAATGTAGATGTTTTCATATATAGATATACAAATTTATGAATGTATTATGTATAAATAATGATAAATAGTCTTGAAGTCTGATATAAAGAAAGATTGAGGTCGGAAACTTTTAATTCCATTGTCTTTATGAGGATTCTTATTTTATATTTTGTTAAATTTAAGAATGGTCTTGTTAATGATAGGATGTGATATTTATTTATTTTTCTTGAACCAATTCTTTTATAGAATTGAAGAAAAAGGATAAAAGATGGGGCGTGGAGAGGGCTGTGCAATTCCGAAGACTGAGAAATTTGAATGCATGAAGAGCCGTGCGATTCCTGAGCCTGAGAAATTTGAAAACATTGGGGTGGGCTGTGCAATTACTAAGTCTGAGAAATTTGAAAACATTAGGGTGTTCTTTGGAATTCATGAGTATGAGAAATTTGATTCCATTGGTGGGGTGTTCACAGCAATTCCTACGTCTCAGAAATTTGAATGCATTGGGGAGCTCTGTGCAATTCTTAAGTCTGTGTCTTTTGCAATTCATAAGTATGAGGATTGTGAATGCATTACGCTGCGATTTACAATTCCTAAGCCTGAGAAATTTGAATGCATTGGGGAGGGCTGTGCAATCCCTAAGCCTGAGAAATATGTTTGTCAAGAATGGATGGAGGGCCACAAATGCACGATATTATGTGTAATTCGTAAGAAACTACTTGAAAGCTCAAAAGACTTCCCAAATCGTGAGAAACTACTCGAAATCATAAACCAAATCGAGCGATTCGAAAATGTTGAATGCGATGGAGTAATTATCACGCCTGAGAAATTTGAATGGATTGGAGAGGGCTGTGCAATTCCCAAGTCTGAGAAATTTGAATGCATTGGGGAGGGCTGTGCAATTCCCATTGGGGAGGGCTGTGCAATTCCTAATTTTGAGAAATTTGAATGCCTTGAAGAATGCACGGAGGGCCACAAATGCAGATTATGTGTCAATCATAAGGGACTGCTTCAAATCGTGAATGCAATTCGGCGATCTGCCTATACTGATATCGGCCCCGGCTCTATAATAGAGCAATTTGATAAACGAGCGTTGGAAATCTGGAATCTATTCAAGCAATGGGTTGAATTAGACAACATCAAGGAAGCGAGAAAGAGGAAAGGAGTTGAGGTGTCAGAGAGGTTGAGTAGCAAGCGAGTGAAGCTAGAAGAATAAAGGACGGGTGCTTTGCTGTGCTGAGGTTGGTTAAGAGGCTCATTCATTCCCTTTTCACTGCCAAACATATTATTAATTTTTTTTTTAAGCTATTAGTTGTTTTAAATGTGTCTGAGTTGTGGCATATGGCTTGATCAAAATACTAATAGGTGGACTGGTCGTGTCATAATTTTACATGTATAAGACATACTACTTTTGTTTTCTTATGAGCATTAACATGTGATGAATTTCCTCCATCCCTCTTGTCGTTGAATTGGAGTCCGCTCTCCTAAATCTTAATGCTTCTGTCTGGTTCTAAATTTTTGGAACAATACTTTTGTAGTTTGGTTCATTACAAATTCATAATTCAGCATGACGTCAACACAGTCGATCACTGTTTAGCCATCACCGATCATCTGCCTGTTGGGATTGAATTTCGAAATAGTTCTTTTGTTTATTTGTTTCAGTAAGTTGTTTTCTTTGTGGTTTGAGTTGTCTTAAAATTATTCAAGGTTTCATTTCTTTTGATGTAAAATTGGTGATTTGACTATCGAATGAAATAAATATAATTATATTAAGAATAAACATGAGATCTCAAAGGACCTACAATGCAATTGGGCATTGTTTGAGAAAAAGCATTGAAATGTCAGAGACAATAAATAAATAAATTCCAATAAATGAGAAGGCAAGAAAAGATTTGCAACGACATGAAGAAATTCAAATGAAGCAGGAGAAAGTTGAATATATAAAGTTGCACGATGAGAAAAGAAAGCAATATATATATATATATACAAACACACATTTAAGGTATTTTTACTTGCACTATATTAGAGAAATGTGCTGGGTAGAGAATCCAAATTATTCATGAACAATTCAATTCTTTTACGGCTCTACAAGAGGAAATTTTTTTTATATGAAAAGCATCATATTGCATAGTAGGAAATGCAACTCACTACAGCCCCTTGTCATTTCTTACAACCTAATCACGTGAAACATTTTCATAAGGTATAGAAGCAAAATGTTTTTAACATTAAGGTATTGTTTGGCTAATGCTTTTGTTTTCGTTTTTTTTTTTTTTTTTGCTAATATATTTATAACAAAGCAAAAGCACAAAGTATATTTGGTAACATTTGCTGTCATTTGAATAGTACACTTTCAAAATTGATGCCAAAATTGGAAACATCAAAATGATACTTTTGTTTGCTTCAAAAATTCTCCTAAATTAACATTTTTAACTAGCCATTCAATTTTTCAAACTTGTAACACTTTTTATAAAGTATGCTTACACGTTTTTACTTCCAAAAATCTTGTAACAAATTTACGTTACCAAACAAGTTTCGAAATAGTGTTGAACACACTTTAAAGTGAAAATGTTACTTCTGCTTTGGGTCAAAGCAACCATGATTGCCAAACGGCCCCTAAGAAACAGAATCAAAGCCAAATTTAGCAGCAAATAAGCAACTTATTCTTTATGTTATAAAATAAAGAACTAACAAACTTAAAATCATTTTAAGAAATTATAATATATATATATATATATATATATATATATATATATATATATATATATATATCCAAGGATATAGCAGCGTTAGCAGGAATTCAGGAAATAAGTCCTTGATGTCTTGCTTTCGAAATTTGAATGGTGCGTGTATTGTGAGTTTAAAATTCAAATCATTTTGAGTGCAAATAATTTTTTGAGGGGTTGATTTGAGTGGAAGTGTGAACGTGGGCCCATGTCTACTATACTAATATAAGTGTGTAAGACCGACATCTCTATTTACGTAATTATTATGCAGCATTCAAAAAATGTATCATTGCTCATCTTAAAGTCGTTTGTTTACGACATATTAAGACTTGAGGGGAGTATTTCGTACCTCTTATTCGCCTTGATCCACAAAGATTAGGTTTCCATCATTGTACCACCTCAGGGAATTTTCGTCAAAATAGCAACAATTATCCAGTTGCAGGTTTCAATCAGGTTTTAAGGAAGAAATACTAAAGGGTAAACTTTCAAAAGTGAATTTCAAAGAAATAATAATAATAGTAAAACAGGGCAAGGCCTGAATGACATAGCTATATCTTATATTACTTGCTTATTAAATCCGGAAAATCGTGCAATTTTATAAAACCACCATCGTAAAGCTGCTTGATTTAATCGGGAAAATCGTGTGATTTTATGAAACCATGCGCTCCTATTTTCGACAGGGACAGTTGACAAATGGGTCCCATCTTTCCCATAATTTTCATATCCGAAATAGTGTGAAAAGGCAGCCTCGCTCCAGAGATATAAAGGATCAATCTCCCCCCAAATATTCCGTCCAGGTTAGTAACCCACAAATAGGGATGGCAACGGGGCGGGTTTGGAACGGGTTTCCCTAAGTCCTGCCCCGCCCCTTATAATTTTTGTCAAGTCCATACCCGCCCCGAGACCCTCGACGGGTTGAATTTTCATGTCCAGCCCCGTCTCGTTGGGAAATACTATGCCCCCGTGCCCACCCCGCTAACAAATTTTTTTCTCTCACTTTTTGGAACTTAAGCTCCTGCTATTTGAATGTGGAAAGCCTGGGAATGGCACAACATAAATGAAATTATGTATTCCAACAAAAATAAAAAAAATAACATGAATATAACATAATTCGGATAACATAATAAACAAAAATAAAAGTTTAATACAACCAAATCACAAAAAATTCTAAGCTCCAACTTCCACCATAACCAAAACAAATGCAAATTTAATACCAAGTTTACATATATATATATATATATATATATATATATATATATATATATATATATATAATATAATATAATTATATGCTTAACGGGGCGGGACCCCTAGGATATGTATACTGAACCCTTACCCGCCCCGTGACCCGCGATGGGTACAAAATTTGTATTCATGCCCGCCCCAACGGTATAAAAAGTGTTTCCATATCCGTTATTAATGGGGCGGGACGGGACGGGGCGGGGCCCCGGCGGGGCGGTAAAAATTGACATCCCTACCCACAAACAGCAAAAATAGAAATTTCGATCTCCAGAAATGTAATTTTACACAATATACAGTAAGACACAAAAGTAAAGTAATTGGGAAAGGCAAGCAAAATGAATAAGAGAAGATTGTCCTCAAGAATGAAACTCCAGTGTCACTTTGAAGCTATCTTTCCCTGATTCTTTCATATTTTCTCTCACTGCTCAGAAAGTACACAAGTATTTGTTCAAAGTTAAATGTTACATTATACAGTAAAGAATAAATTATGGCAGGAACCTTTTCTTATCTCTCTTGGATCTATCATCACAAGGTGGTCCGAGAAGGATGATGCAATAGTTATAACTAACAACGAAGGGAAAAACTTTGGACTTCATTAAGTGGTAACCAAGTCACGAGGGAATAGCACGAGGGGGCTTACGTTTTTGAAGGTAGCTTAACGCCAGCCCCTCTCAGGGACAAAGTAGGGCCTCTGACTGAGCTCGCTCGACTCACAAGATTTGAATCGAGAAATATAACTATGACAGTAATGTCATCGTGGAAATGCCTGCGGACTCCCCGGTCAATTTTATTCAAATCAGAGTACCTCATTTCCCTTTTCTTAGCTGCTTCATGCAGGGCAGCTTTCACTAGCCTCCTAGCACTTCCCTGCATGACGAAAAACAAGTAAATATCAGTTTACTCTCTTTTTTTCCCCCCTTCTCGGTTCCTTTTTCTCTTGCATATATGACGTTGAGGTTCCAACAACTCAGGTGTGTCGATGACCTCTATCCCATCATACATTTTCAATGGTCCAATGCGTACATTTCATATGATTCTCGTTCATACCTCACCATAGCAAAATGTGGAAGGAAACTTTTGCTACAGATGATAAATACATTCTGAGCTTCAGAAAGACAAAGAAAAAAATAAAATACAGATAAACATATAATCATTTGCTTATGCTACCACAAAGATATAAAAAATGTGGAGAATGGTCAAATTTTCAGTACTTGAATAATTCAAATGAAGGTTAATGCCAGTCTCATTCATTATTAAAAGCGCACAACCATGCATTGCATCAACAAAAATCAAATAGAGAAGCATGAAATAAGAATTATGCAACAAATATCTACCCTAGGGAAATAAAAAATTTACGTACCATACATATATCACAAAAGTCAGAATATTTAAGTGATAACCAAAAGAAGGAAAATGAATAGCATAATTTATACTGTCAACCTCTTTAACATACACTGAAATATTGATATTAGTGAAAAATGGTGAGAAGCCAATATCTGTTCATTAATGCATAATTTAGTGCTGAGATTAACATCTTACACTGTGAGGGTGTTTTTGTACTAGATCTACTGCTTCCTGATTGCTAAGGTGCTCCCACAGCCCATCAGATGCAAATATTAGAAATCGATCATGTGGTTGGAGTTCATTGACAGAAATTGAAGGTTCAGAGCTCAACAACGGTCTTTTAAAAGGTTCACGAAGACGAAACTTAGCATACAAAGGCTCCCTGTTAAATTCAGCCTTTTTTAGATATACATCACCAATAGATCTAGAAACCTGCAAGACCATTAATCCAAAAGAGAAGACACACTTAATATGTCATGATAAATCATGCCACAAAGTTTAGAAGCACATGACAAAATAAATTCTATGAGTTCCTATTCCTCGTCAAAGATATATAAAATCATAAATAACAATCAGAGAAACTAAAACTAATCCGAAAATTTTCTTCCCATTTGGATTAATTGATCCATCCTTGAATATCCCGAATTCAAAATTACAAAAACCATATGTAGAGCCGGCATGACAAGAAATTGTCTTGGCAACATATAATCGAGACTCCATTTTAAAAAATATCACATGACATGATAAAGATCACATTTTGAAAGCTTTGCCCCTAGAAAACGAAAGGATCCTTGGCCACAAAGACAGTTACATTTAATTATTCTGGGTAAACTAGGACTATGGTACACAGTGTCTAAAACTTCGGAAGTGGCGCTTGTACAAAAACTGAACCAATGAGCGACGCAAGTGCAGTGAGATTAGAATTCCTTGATGAATCATAATTTGTCCTTTTTTACTCGGCAAAGAATGATGTATGATACAGTAGAAATAATACGCCTCAGATATTGCACAACTTGGAGAGAATTTTTGACCTAAAATACAACATATATTCAAAATTTTCAAGGATGTTAATAAATTGAAGAAGTTACAACAGACTGAGGTTGAGAAAAAAAAAATCGTGTGCCACATCTGTTTCAGTTTAGAGAAGTAAATATATATTTTACCAAAGGTGTCAAAAAGGAGGCACAGCTCATATCCACACATGATGCGAACAGAAATAAATATTTTTTTAAGAAAACAATTCAACAAAAATCTGAAAGACTCAATGGATAAGTACTCCACCCTTCCTTGTTACCCAGCTTTTAAGGCACCAAAAAGACTACTCTTTACTCTATGGGCTCCTCAACGTTTTTGAAATTTAACTTTTCCTCCCCACCTCCCACTGCCACCTCAAGCAAAGAGGGGCAGCACGCAAGCCTTCAAATTTCCTCCTCCCTACTCTACTACCTCCCACAACTCCGATAACAAAGGCGATACACTAGACCTAGGAAATACCCATGCCATTCAGACTAATGCCAAAAAAGAAACCGAAGGGCTGCATAGTGCTGCAGAGAATAAGATTATCAACCACAATTAAGGGTAACATGCCTGCTCTTCACTAAATTATTAATCATAAAGATCCTGACATGATCCATCGACTCACTGGCCCCTTTAGACATACCAGCTCAAACTCAAATCATGAACTAACCTTCGGAACCTAACATCCCAAGCCAGCCCGCTTGTGGTATGTCAACTACAGTCCACCTAAATTGCATCCTTATTCACTCGATTCTGTGCAAGTTAGGATTAGATTCCTTTTAACAACATTCCCACACTTGTCGCACCACCTATCACTTTCCACACTAAGACAGACATTTTTGAGAATTTCATCCCAACATATTGTCTCATTTTGAATCAAGTCATGTGGATGTCACCAAACACAAACCATAACACAGAACTCCAGAACACATTATCACGACTACTAGGGAATGGGTTTATACAAATCGTACTTTCTGTTTAATGCAATATAGTAATATATTTTTCTGACTCAGAGACCATAACATTTTCCCTTATATCCTATACTGAAACTATTCTTACCTTTGTCCCTCAACTTGAACCAAATAGAACTTCAACACCAAGTGCCACTTGGAGCTACTTCCCCATTTGTATTTAAATGAAACAAGTGCTAGTGTATCCATCATTTGACAATTTAATTTTCCTTGAATTAACAAATCCATACCACATTCAATAAACATGTGTGTGATTGCTATAAAATAAAGTACAAATGGCCTAAAATCCTATAAAATAAAGCACAAATGGCCTAATAGGCTAATAGTTGATTTATGTAATTTGTTCCTTTATTGATAACTACCTCTTCCAGTCCCAACTCCCCACCTAGAGATGGCAAAATGATCCACCCCCATTTGGGGGATGCTTAATCGGGTTCGGCAAATTTGGGAGGAGGGAGTAAAAAACTGCACGGATTTGGGGTAGGGAGCCAACCCCCACCCCCATTTATGCTGCAAAATTACTACCATATAGTACTTTATTAAATATACTAAAATACCTTTTACTAACCTAAACCCTAATTCTACTCTTACCTCATTTTTGTTTGATGGATTATTTCATGAACCATGAATATATTATTTGATTTGCTTGGTAAAATTGCTATGTATTTCTCTATTTATGTGATGTTTGTGAACTAGAAAGTATGGATGTTAAGTATGAACATTTATTTACTTGTGAAGATTACATTAATATATTAAGCTTGCTATATATATATATAGGTCTATAGATGCTAAAAAAAATTGAATTAGTGGGAATTTAAAGGGGGTGGGGCGGGCTGCCAAGGGAATTTAAATGGGAGTGGGGTATGGGATCCATCGCTAAATGGTTTTCGTGAGGATGGAGATTGCTTTGCTAAATGGGGACGGGGATGGGGAAAGGGCTCCTAGTGGCCAGTATACTCAACTATGATAGATTTTCAAAATAGAGAGGGAAAGGAAGAAAGGGGAAGAAAACAGAAGTACCCAAAATAAATAAATAATATTTGAACTAACCCTTTACTCGTGGCATCCACCTGGACTAGTTCAAACCTAAGTCGCACAGCTCGAGAGTGAGTAAAAGAGCGGAAGTGAGAAAGCAACAAGATGAGCAGGCATGTCTCCAGAGCGCCACATATGCTAAAGGCCATTATTGATGCAATAATAAAAATCTAATCTCATAAGTCATAATAATAGGGAAAGGCGCATGAGCTACAACTTACAAGTAATGTATTATTTCTTCTATGTTAGGAATCACAAAATATTAGTAATAATTTAAAATAAAAAAGTTGTATTACATTGTTTTTGTTTTTAAGGAATGCAAATCAAGAAATCTATAAATTTATTTTACATCCTTCAAGATATGTTGTTTAAAGTTTTATACATGAAAAGATTCCTTTAAGAAATTCTAAACTAGTTAGTCTCTTAACTAAATAAAGTAAAACTAACAAGTGTATATATATCACAAACTTAATAGTTTAAGACTAAAGCAGTTTTTTAAGAACTCGTTCGAATGTCCCCTTATAACTAGGACACTTATCAAGTAAATAACAAAAACAAACTAATTAATATGGCAAGAGTTTGTTATCCTTACTTAATATTGTAGGTTCATTCTTGGTTGTGCACCTTTCTAGCAGTTTTCATTCAGTATTAGGTATATTTTGGTTTACTGTTGTCTAAGTTAAATGACATGTGATTATCCATCATTCAAAGAATGATAAATCATTATGAATTCAAGGATTCACAACTTGAATTCGGGAATTGGGAAATAATTTGTACTTACAGCGCCATAAATGTGGAATCTTTGTTAGGCATTTTATATATCAGATCAATGTCATTGAAGCTCTGAACGGCTCTTTAAAGGACTTGTAATTCCTATCAATTTCTTGATCAGCCAATAAAAGAAGAAAGCAAGAAAGACTAACAAAAGGTAGAAGTGAGTGTAGAACCAGGAATCCTTCCACTCTTCCTTCAACCTTCAGTTGGCTAGCTACAAGCTCCAATTAGAATAACATTTGCTCACTGTGAACACCAAAAATCAGCTAAGGCCTAAATAATCATATTATACTAGAAACTTCAAATTAAAAGGATTACTAATCCTTATCCACTACGAGACACTCTCTTTCTTTTATAAAAGTAAACCGCTAAATTCTTTGATCTCTTAGTAATAAAGCATTCTGATTTAAAATTTACACCATAGATTAGCATAACAGATAAAAATAACCTATGTTCAATTAGACATTCTGCTACCATTACTCATGCAAACAACATACCTGTATCAAGCCCTTTACACGCCAAACATTATGTTTTAGAACAACAATATCTGGGTCATCCGGGTGCAAAGAATGCAATTCCTGTCTGACAGACTCTATGCTCGCATTATGCTCTGCTGAAAGCTGGATGGCAAGCACCTCCCCAGTTGCCTTGACAAGCCTCCCCAAAACAGCACGAGAATCGCCAAGGTTGGCTATGTAAAGGGTCCCACCACAGATCACACCGACTAGGCAGCAAGATCCAACAGCTGCAATTTGGGGTTTCACAGGAAATTGTTTACTAACAAGAGAGAGAAACCCCTCTTCTGTTGCTTGAAAAGCTTTCCGTATTGCATCCACTGACATGGACTGTTCCTCCGAGGTGAACCCTGCAAATTTCATTTGCAACTGAACCGTCAGTGATCAAAACACAGATTTTATATCACCGCCAAAGCACCACCTCCAAATGAATATATGAATAACAATAACAGCCACCGGTATGCATAAAAAAATATAGCAATTCTTGGAATTCTTAGTTATAATGAAAACTAAAAAATGCAGAACTTTACAAAACATTCTATTGTCAGGAAGTTACAAATTCAGTTCTAGTTCACTTACTCTTGAGATGCTGAAAAAGGTGGTCATTGATGTAGCGCGATGTCTCGGGGCCACCATGACCATCATATATTCCAACAAAGGTTCCATACGGACCAGAATCGAGCAAGCTTAACGAGCCGGATTCAATCTGGCTCTGGTCCTCAAGCAGATTGTTGGCCTGGACAACAGCCATTGAGAATTCACCAGTCAAATGCTGTCCACTGTCTTTGTACCAAAGGAGCCCATCTTGCCGCCCAGCTGTGTCGGAACCCTTGTGCACATATCGGTCTGATGCCGGCCGCCAGCAGGCTTTCAGGAATTTTATCAACTTTGATAACATCCCTCATCTCACCCAAGCCTACCTTCAATTCCTCAACATCCCAAATGGATGCAAAGACCACTCCAATCAAAAAAATCCACCAGCCTTCTTCACTGCAAACCAAATAATAACTATAATAACAAGTAAAAAGAAAAAAAAGATTAAACTAACAACCACAATATTTAGATGATTGGATCAAATCATTGATGAAATATATTAGCTTTCTAACCAAATTTAGCTATATTTTTCTTCTTAAATGAGAACAAAACTGTTTCTTATCTTGAACCCATCTCTATTTCGACTATAAAAGAGAAGAATTATAACCCATATCTTAACAATCCCTAAAGTTTGAAAGAAAACATCATAAACAACAAAGATTTCTGGCTAAAAGCAAAGGTTATACACACTTGAATCAGACAACTACTTGGGTCACACACACCCAATACAAGGTGGATTTTAAATGCCGAAACAGAAAGCAACAAAGAAGATATAAATTTGAAAAACAACATCAATAATCACCTGAATTCACAGTAGGAGAGGAGGCATTCACAGTATGATATACACGTTTTTCTTGTGTTTCTGGTCAGCTACTGAACAATATCAAATGGATACGGTGGAGATCTGACAGAAATAGAGCAACCCATGTGGCTATGAAAGCGTTAGATCTGTAGATCCTTCAAATCACACTCTATACACAAATACATACATACATATTATCATATATATAAATACACACCCGGTTTATTTGATTGAAGGTGTCTATGTCTTCTCTCTCCTCTAGGTTTCCTTGTGGGTGATTTTGAGAGAGAAGATGAATAAAAGATAAAGGTCATTGAAGGGTAAGAAGGGAGGAGGGAGTTTTCACGATTAGTGTGTTCGATTGATCAAAGTAGTGGAAAACTCTATCTCCCCTCTCTCTCTCTCTCCAAACAGACCCTTTTAAAGAAAGTGAACAATTCGATGGCTGAAAGCCAGCAATGCCCAAAATGAGTAATCATGGGCTCCACATACATTTCAATTAAAAATACAGTTATATATATATATATATATTGGGCTGCACATACATTTCAATTAAAAATACAGTTTTATATATATATTATTATGTATTTTTCTTTAAATATATGTGTATATAATAATATAGTACACACAAGGTGATGAACAATGATCATGCACTTTGAAGGATCACACAAGAATCGTTTGGCGTTGCTGATGATTAAAAAAAAAAAACATTTTTGTCAGTAAAATTGTAATACATTATAGTCTTTTTTACCATTAAAATAATTTTTAGTCTGTTTGATAATAATATTTTTTTAAACACTTTATAACTAATTTTACAATAATGTCCTTTAAAAAAAATGTATTTTTTTTTTTTTCAAATGTTACAATACTTGATAATAACTTAACAAAAGAATAATAAACTTACTCAGGAGAAAATAGTTATCTAAAATATAGAAGCTTTAATATCTGCACTTGTAAAAGTTAGAAATTTTAACTTCATTCAAAAGGTCTACTAAGTTAAAATTGATAATTAGAAAAGTGTTTTTAATGATTATCAAATACATTTAAAATAAATAAATAAAGAAAAGTGTTTTTAAGTGGTTCAACAACCATCTCAAAAGAGCTCTTAATAGTTTAGATTTTAAGTGACACAATTAAACATTTAAAATTTAAAAAGATATTAAAAAATATTTTTAATTTCCATTTTTTAAAAATTAACACTTAAAATTCAGCTTTTAAAATTTTTCGTACTTAATGTTTAGTTTTTTCACGGACCTAAAACTATTCATGAGATAAATATGATAACATATAATATATAATATAACATACATACATGCAAAAATAATATGTATATTATATTCAATCTCTTATTGGTAGCAAAACATGTTCATTCTTTCAAAATAACCAAAAGAAAAAATAAAAATTTGAGCTTATACAAAGTCATACAGTATTTTAGAAACATGTTATGTTTCATAGAGTTTGAAAAATAAATTCTAAACCACTTTGATTTAGAAAATAAGATTTAAAAAATGAATTGACAATAATTTGACACTATAATTATAAAAGAGTAGAGAAAATTCACAAAAATGAATGTATTGGTCCAATGTTACGGTTTTCATTTATATTTTGTCATTCTTCTAACCAAGTAAAGAAATCAAATAGTAATTTTTATTCAAGGATTTAAAGTCTCAAAATTATTTTACTGACATCAGCATATATAACTTTATTTTTGAAATTTGGCAACAAAAGAAAAAAATTGCATAACCAAATGTTATTTAAATAACTAATAATAATAACTATTTAAACTTATATAGTTTAAGCAACATTTAACCTCTCATTGACATAGATTATTCACCAACTAAAAAGTTTTGTAGTGGAACATTGTGTTGCTTTGATTTTACATCAAAATCTTCTTTTTATGTCGTTGATGTTAGTAAAATTTAATTAAAAAAGAATCCACTCAAAAAAAAGTTGCTTGCTTTTAGTATTTTCTAGAAAGTGTTTTCATGCAATTTGAAGAAAGAAGATTTATTTTACTGACATTGTACAAAGCAACACGTTGTACCTAAAAATATTTGTCCATATTTTTGCATTCTCTATTCCAATTTTTACCCATCTAATTTTTTTTTTTAGACGTTCTATGCCCACATGGAGTCTCAACACCCGACCTTTCTTTTAGAGAGAAGGGCTTGCCGGAAGATTTTGTACCAACTGAGCTATTGCAATTTTGATAAAAGAAACAAAATACACCCGTGACCCGACCTCTCCTTTAGAGAGGAGGGCTTGTTGGAAGGTTTTGTACCGAGCTATTACAATTTTGATAAAAGAAACAAATACACCCGTGACCCCACCTCTCCTTTAAAGAGGAGGGCTGGCTGGGAGGTCTTGTACCAATCGGGCTATTGCCATTTTGATAAAAGAAACAAAGTTAAGTGGCTGTTGGGATTCGTCACCACGGCCGCAACATGAAATTCTTACCACTAAACTACAACCACATTGTTTCTTACACATCTAATTTTGATTTAACATATATTTTTGTGGCAAAATCCTAACAACGATGTTTGTAGAGTAAAATATTCATGCAATTAAAGAGCTAATCACACAATCAACGCTAGATATATGATCCACTCAAACGAATGCACCGAAGTAATGTGATCCATTATGAAAAAGATGAAGAATTATAATACAGAATTTCTTACTGTGATCCACTCAATGGATTACTGTTACGTTTACGGACTGCACCGAACAATTTCATTATAGAGAAGATGAATAATTACAATAGAGAATTTCCTCTTAATCTCTGTCTAGATCTTTCTAGGATTGGTACAAAACCTATTATATATAAGAAAACAACATGCTGCACAAAATTTTGAACTTTTTGAAGAGTCTAAAACAAATAAAAAAACTAATTCCCCAACTTGTAAGGAAAATATGTATATATATTTTTTACAGTAAGAAAGTCAAATTAAAAGTTAGAGATATGAAAATTTGAGGTCCGGCTTTCAAAGACAATAGGAAACAATTCAATAGTTGGGCTACAAAGACATTCACAATTAAATATCATGTTTCTAAATTATGCTACTAAAAATTAATTTAAAATTTTAAGTACATAGTTGTGAGGACCTTGTGGGCGGGTGTGTCGTGGGCGGGTGCGAGAGATATTGACAGGCTACCACACTGGCGAGTTACGGATGCACAGTCTCACATCATCTAGATAGAGGAAAGGTGAAATGCTTATATGTAAGTGTGTCATCTCCAATTGGTATGAGGCATTTTAGGGTAAAGTTTAAGAGCAAGACCGTACGGGTTCAGACCCAAAGCGGACAATATTATACTATGTGGTGGAGTGGATCGTTACAAATGGTATCAGAGCCTGACTCAGCCGGAAGTGTACCGACGGGGACATCGGATCTCCAAGGGGGTGGATTATGAGGACCCTGTGGGCAGGTGTGCCATGGGCGAGTGCGAGAGACACTGACATGCTACCACACTGACGAACTGGGTAGAGGAAAGGTGAAGTACTTATATGTAAGTATGTCATCTCCAATTGGCATGAGGCATTTTGGGGTGAAGCCCAAAAGTCAAACCGTGCAGACTCGGGTTCAAAGCGGACAATATCATACCACGTGGTAGAGTGGGTCGTTACAATAGTGATTAACACTTGAATTTCCAAAATAAAAATTAAAAATTTCTTAATTTACAAGTACCACTTAACTCTTAAAAAATTTGACACTTTCGTTCTTTTTTAATTTTATCAAATAGTGCCTTAATAATGGCTCTTCTACAAAATGAATACTGAAAATCTTTTTAAATTTTTTTTTTTTTTTGGTGCACATTTTAAATATCCAACAAAATGAACAGCCATCAAGGTTTAATGGCTATTCATTTTTTGTAGAATAGCCATTTGAATTCATTAGTAGAAAAAGTTCGGGTGCACATTTTTTAAATACCCCACAAATTGAATAGTGAAAATTCTTTTTTTTTAATGCTTAATCTACTTCGATTGAATTCATCCGTGAAAAAAGTTCACCGCACTTTTTAAATATCCCACAAAATGAATACTGAAAATCTGTTTTTTTCCTTAATGCTTAATCTACTTGGATTGAATTCATCCGTGAAAAATTAATGGCTATTCATTTTTTGTAGAATAGCCATTTGAATTCATTCATAGAAAAAGTTCGGGTGCACATTTTTTACATACCCCACAAAATGAATAGTGAAAATTCTTTTTTTTTTTTTTTTTTTTTTTTTTTTAATGCTTAATCTACTTAGATTGAATTCATCGGTGAAAAAAGTTCAACGCACTTTTTAAATATCCCACAAAATGAATAGTGAAAATCTTTTTTTTTTCCCTTAATGCTTAATCTACTTAGCTTGAATTCATCCGTGAAAAAAGTTCAACGTACCTTTTAAATATCCCACAAAATGAATAGTGAAAATCCATTTTTTGATTCTTAATCTACTTAGAGATAGATAGAATCAGTAAATATCCCTGAATAGTAAAAACCCACTTTTTGATGCTTAATCTACTTAGATTAGATTCATTCATGCGAAAAGTTAGAGCCCACCTTTTGAATATCCCACAAAGTAAACTTTGCATTTCACCAAGTAATCATGCCTTCAAATGCAAGGGTGTTACAAGAAAATATTTGTACCATATCGAATTCGGATAAAAAAATGATTAGGTAAAATTAGGTAAGTATGCAGTACTATCGAATAACTTGAGTATCCTTAATCCGGTATCACGCCAAGCGTCCGGCCTAGAAGGCGTCCAAGTGAGTCACCTCAAGTAGGGAAGGTGACTAGATAACTTGAACTTTTAGATAAATAGACAAGGGTCCACCCATTATAATAAATCACTAAAAAATGAAAACATCTATTAATTTTGAAAAACAAATTATCATAAAAGATTCATAATTAATTCTGTATGTGTGCGGATGGTTACTTAGTTCAGTGAATCTGCATTAATGTTTTTAATACTAGATATGATTTTTTTTTAAATATTTAAACAATGTTTTTATAATCTCTTGTCATGGCTAGTAGGGATGACACAAAACGCCAATGTGTGGTGTGATTTTTTTATTTTACTTTTATATATTTTTTGTAAATGTAGTTGAACTTTTAAAGATTATTTAATTTGAATGGTGAATTTAATATGAATTTTAGCAAAACATGCTTATTAATGTTTATCTTTCACTATTTTACTAACACAAATGATCAAGGCATATCATTGTCTCAATGTTGTATGAATGCCACAAAATTAAAAAAAAAAATCTAGATTGAAAAAGTCAAAACTAAATTTATTAATATATTTTCATAATTCAACTTTAAAATAGAGATTTAATTTGGCTAAAGTTAAATGGATCCACTTTGAACCAATCCAAAAAATGAGAAAAAAAAATATATATATATATAATAAACAAGGTCAAAAACTTATC